ACAAGTCATTACCTGCCTTCTGCATATTGATTCCATGAGCCTTACATTTTTGTGGAGGAATAACCTTAAAATTACCACATACATCAAATGGATTACAATGGTAATACCTCACATCAACTGCAGCAGGCATCACAGATGCTTTCACATTCTCCTACTTTTTAAGAAACTTTCTGTGAAATTCAGATGTGCACAAGTAACTGGAAGTGGACAGATCTGAGTTTGACAACTATTATTCCAGGAACTTTTAGTGAATTGTTTGAAGCCACAACAAAATATCACAATTATTTCTGTTATAGTTTGGGATGTAATAGACTAAAACAACCATGTTCAAACAAAAAACAAATTTATTAAACTTTCATACCACAGAAATACAAAATAAAACTTTCAAATAATTGGAATATAAAGCTTATCCTAGAATGGTGGAAGGCTTTCAAATCAGAAATGGCTTTTGAGCACTTGGGAGAATTTAAAGAAACCTTCCCTAATTTGTACCCAGTAGTCATTTGTTATAGTCCATTAAATTGGCACCAAACAGGGACCCATTCATATAGAGTATTTGAATTTTAATTGACTGGATTGTTTTTCCATTCAGTGTTGAGTGACTAGTTCAGTAATAAGTTAAGTTTAGTATAAATTAACTTGTAGCAGAAAATAACTGTTAATGAAGCTGATGTGGCAAATTTGAAGCAGTCATTGGCAGTATCGATGGAAGAGGTGCAAAAGTTAACACACACATGATAACAGTCTTCTTTTTCTACTTCAAACTACCTCTAGCCCTGTGGAAAGTTATTATTTTCCTACCTTGAAAATATAATTCTGATAGGTACTTACCTTCACTCACGTAATAGCATTTCTCATTTAGTGCTACCCTCTATATGTTCAGCACTAGCCTTGAAACTCCCACCTATCTCATGATCAACGTGGTTTACTGCATCTTTCCATGTACTGTATTTTTGGGTGTATAAGACACACTTTTTTTACCCCAAATTTGATGTCAAAT